TCGGGTCGATATAGATAACGGAGGCGAGATAACAGTGGCTTGAGCAAGTAACGAGGTTTATTACACTAAAATAAACAGCATCTGACAAGTGCAAGGACAATTTCTCCATTTATAGGGGAATGGTGCATTCTTGAATTTAGGCGGGAAGAGGATATATTACATGTTTGTAATAGGTCAATAAGGAGGGGATCTGATTGGCTAAAATATATACGTTGTGATAGGCTGAATCTTTCGTATGCAGAATCCAAAAGTTGCATTAAGCTAGAGTGCTTATAATGATTCCCCATACATTGTCAGTGGGTGCACACTACGTGCCATGCATTAAACGTGTCGTGCATTGACACGGAAAATAAATTCCAAGCGAAAATAAAGTATTCTACAGTACATATATTATGTATCATTTGTTAACAAATGTACGCGTTACGTCACGTTCGCATGTAAACATTTGTACTAATGACGTGTCACGTGTTAGCACGGACCACGAACACGTGCATATTGCGTATTATATATATACAAGTCGAGATTCATTTGATTCCAGGTGTGAATACGAGGTGTACGTGGTGGTAATCGAGGACCGAATGTGTTTGTATTTGGTTGACGCGGGATTGTAAATATATTAACTTGTAATAATGTGTATAATTGTGTTTCTATATAACATGATTGTTTTGATGGACAGATGTAATCTTTAGGTTACATGTGGCGTCGTCCTTTGTTTTGATTATTTCAAATTACAATTATTCAGTTTTCGTTATGGTTCACGCCTATGAATGGCATGTCGTCATATGTATATATTTATGAATGCGAGGTTTGAAATCACTATTATGCACTATATCAAGGCAGGGAGAACTTTATATACAAAATATTTCAATGAATAAATGTTTTTCAAGCACACACATTTTAAACCGTCAATGCCTCTTTTTATTTCCCGTTGAGAAGAACCGGTTAAATTATGGACAACTTTGAACTTAGACCCACATTTTTGTTGTTGAAATTTAGCATAACCACAGTCACTCTACTAGTAGGTAGAGTGACTGTGGCATAACGTTGTAAAATATTTGTTAGTTTCCTAACACAATACCCAACCACAAAGACAATATTGTGTTGGTTTAAAACCAGAATAAATATAAACAATGTATTACATTTACAATGGTTTCAAATTACCCATGGACGTGGTTTACGGTAATTTGTTTTATAAATATTTATAAATGTAAATTCGAAGTGTAGCTATCCGTTTCTGATGACGGCCAATTTATGAGGGCGTTTCAATATCCATCTTGACTGGTCGCTGCGATTAGTAAGATGGTTTTCTACTCTCATTTTAAGTTATCTGTTTTGTCAAAATGTTCGAATAAACCGAAAACTATATATATGAGTAATCTAAACCATTGTAAACGCGAGCATGTTATTGTCCTTTTAAACAGAATCAGCAATAAATCGTCTGTGTGGTGCACATGCGCAGTGCTATGCATTGGTCTGACTGTATCATTTACGTCAATTATTAGCATGTGTTCCATAGAGAAAATGACAGATTAAAAACAAAATATATAATATGTTGTGTCTGCTCAACTAGTTACTTCGAATTAATTATGACAATCTCAAATTGTCTTTGGGGATAATGGCCATCCCGAGAGAATGTAACGATCTAGCGCCCTCTGTTTCAACGTCTCCAAATATGCCGGTATTTTTTTAAATTTCAAATACACACAGAGATGTATCCCGGCTCCGTGAAATAAATCTAATCCCGAATTCTGCGCTAGACGTGTTTTATTACGAGAAGAAAAAATACTCGCATTGACTGCATCTGTGTTGACAGCTTCTACTTGTTTTATGGTGATGTTTGCTAATACATGGCGCTATTTTAAATGTGCTGTCATGCAAGTGACCAGTCTTGTCACCAACAGCACCACAGCTGTTGGTTGTGACATATTAATCTCGACAAGACACATACCGTCTTAAAAGACGTTGCTTTCACATACATGGGCCCCTTGCTTCAAGACGCATGCGTCTGGTCGATTCTCACCACGGCGAGTCATTGGTAATGAGCTCAGATTCTCAGCTCAATTCACTTCATGACACTCTAAATGCCAAGTAAATTATAATAATATGATAATTGCATGTTAAGGAATATTTGTATTTTGCACGGAGTCAGTGAGCACTGAAAATCGTCTTTCTACTTGTTATCTGGGCCCCAATCAGTTTTCGGTATATTATTTGGCTGTAAATAAGTACGCTCGCTGTTAGTATGAGAGAGCTCGCTGCGATGTCTTCGACGCTTCATTATGGAACTGTCTCCGTCATTTGGAACGAAGGGGTGTAGCGGACGCACATTTCTATTTATTGTGGCGAATCGTGCTCTTTGTGTGAGTGTCCTTCTCTATTGTGCGCGGCACGCGTTACTAGATGAATGTCCAAAATGAACAAAGGTCCTGAAATAACCACGTTCCGTTCTTAAAAAAACACACTAAAGAGTATATCACAAGTGAAAGTGGACTATGATATCGGTTTATCCACCCCTATTTTAAAATGGTCCACTCTTAATATTTTCGTAATTATGGAGTGCCCGGATGTAACTCATGTCAGATTGAAGGAAAATATGGAGATCGTAAGAGAGTAATCAACGAGTGTATTTCAGAAATCACAGTTTTTCTTCTTTCCACGTTCCAGCCATGGATATACGAACGATGGGTAAAGAGTATTTTCTATCTGTCCATCTCGTCTGCTGTGATTATCTGTGCGTGAAGCGATGCCAATATGAGTGTGATTTTCAATGGGGCCGCCTCAGTGAAGGGAGCAAAATGTTGGCTATCGAGCGCTTGTCGCGTTTCATGCCCGGCTTCATACCTCCGTTTGTTTTCGCGATCGCGTCCGTCCCTCCTGCCTCACTTTGTCTTGTAATAACGCGAAGTTGATGACGATTCTATTTTTTTTTCTCTTGTTATTCTCTGCATTCAGGATTAAATAATGACAGCCGGGCTGTTAGCAGTGGCTCTTACGCGGCTAGTCCAGGAACCCAGTCCGATAGCATACCGAAATCAACAGTTTCGGCTACAGCAGAGACAGGCACAGGCCTTAGTAGTGCATGGAGAACGACGTTGGCAGCAACGACAACAGCAGCCACGATGACTAGCAAAACGTGCCAAAAAAGTAGAAGCAAACACCACCAAGTTACATTGGTTCGACCGCCAAGAGCATGTTTGTGTCTCACCCTAGACAACCCACTCCGGCGACTCTGTATAAGCATCGTCGAATGGAAATATCCTTTTTAATATGCATCATATGGAATCATCATTTTTTAGAAAATTTAAATGTTTTAAAACTGTTATTAACATTACATGCCTAGTTTTGATTGGCATTAATTCTGTCGTGCGCTTCTCGCTTGCTTTGCCATCGAATCGAAGCTTTGTTGTTATAATCTTGTAAACAAACGTCTCACAACAATGGACAGCATCAAATATATCAGCGAACGAACGTACCATATTCGAAATACCTTGTTACGAAATTGGAATGAATGTATATTGTGAAATTATTTTTCATACCTTGTAATTCCCTTAACTTTGTATTTTATCTCACGCCCTTTGAATACCTCATTCTACTGACAATTTTTGCAAATTGTGTGGCGCTGGCAGTGTGGACCCCCTTCCCACACGGTGATTCCAATGAAATTAACGCCCATCTGGTAAGTAAATTCTTGCATAAATATTTTGTTGTATAGTATATTCATGTTTCACCCCAAAATGAACCTAAATCAAGCGTCCTTGCCCATTCTATTTTAAGGCAAGACAAGTAAATTGGAGGTTTCGACCAATTCTTGTTCCTGCCTTTTGTCATATCAATAATAAAAAAAAACCATGGTTGCCACATTGACATCCAGTAGAAGACGGTGTGTAATAGTGGAAGCTGTTGTCATCGTCATTAATTCATTCCCAGCTTTGGTTTACTCGTACTTTCCATTCACTGGCAGCATTTGACCTTTGTGTCATTAGTTGAACTTTTTTACAGATTCCCCCTGTGTAAGGGCCTCCCCTAATCAGATTCCATGTCAATAGTTATAACATGCCTGTTTTGATAAGTTTCCCCTATTATTTGTACATTGTACTTTGTAAGCAGCTAGTGGACATAGTCACAATAACATGCGTGCATATATTTTAGCTGGCTTTCAAAAAAATAAGGTGATAAACTGAAAAACCGTAAACTTGTGTTTTATTGTGGGAGTTGGTTATGAAGGTGAGAAGGAATTATTTACTAACTTGATAGTGTCTTTCATGGATGGATGATGTTGCCAACATACATGTCAATGGTATTTTACTTATAACAATAGTTTGATACACGCTTATTGTATACGCTTGACTGCTTTTCGTTGTACTCTCAATGGTTTCCCCTCATGTAAGCCGCTACGTCTATTGTTGTCCATTCTCTTTCCAAGTAATTACTTCTTCTTCACTGGACTGAGACGGTTTGGTGCCCCGGTCACATGCTGGATAACTGATCAAATTGTAGTAGAGTACGAGTATGCATGTGTATTTTGGGGGGTGTGGGTGGGTCGTCTATACTTTTCTACTGTATCTGTATTTACTTGTGATGAGTTTTTCAGCTTATAGTGGTCACCCCTAAAGCTTAGCAGCCCAATCTTTGTTTAACAGGTCACTCTAGGTTATTATACACTAGCCAAGTATTGAAGCATAGAAACCCTTTGTAATTGTTATCTTTATGTTAAAATTCTACAAACAAGCTGGCTTCCTGTAATTCATGTTCTGTATATAATTTTCTTTGAAGTCATTGATGTTTCGTAGCTGCCGTACTTTTTCTGATATGAAAATTAATAAGCATGGTACATGGATGAGCTTGAGTCAGGGTCTGTAGCAGACCCGCAATACTGCAATAAGAAAGTTTACACTCCTAATTGACTTCAAGGAAATTTATTTACTCACCACTAATTAAAGACCCTGAAATTTTTCAATTCCTAGCATTTTAAAAATATTTTTTCTGATAAGAAAAGTAACTGATATCATGCACTGACAGCACTGTTGTCTGCTGTTATAGAAACTGCTTGATTAAAATTGTTTTTACTGCTTAGTTTTGTGAGACAACTTGTATATATCTATATGACTGTTTAATTATATGAATTGCAATACCATGTTTGATGTATTATAAAATAATAATTGTCATACAGTTTTGTTTTTATTATTATTATGAAGTTGATACTTTTAAGTTCAAAAACACTTATAAAATTAGATTACAGAAAACCTTAAACATCAGCCGTCTATATGTTGTGGTAGATGATGTAGCCATGTCATATGACAAATAATTAATATATATATACTATTGT